TGGTTTCTCTCTCCTGATTCCACAAGAATGACACATTAGGCAGCTCCTTACATTCACTGGGCCGTGGACCATTTCCAAAACACCCTTCTACGGTCTGGAGGGAAAATACAGACCCACAGCATTCACAGTGACTCATCTAAATCAGCTTTCAACACACTCAGATTTGCATTGTTATCCACACGGCCTGTGAGTGTTGTCTCTCCCCAGCTGTAACTACGCCCTCATGGGGAAGATGCACATTTAACACTTCCTTCACATCGTGCTCAGAAGGTCCAGCGTTTGGCATGAGGTAAGCAACCAATAAAATTCTTATTTATTGACTGTATAAAGTAAGTTTAAATGACAGTTTTCCATTCCCAAAGGTAGAGCAGAGACCAAGACTGAACGCAGGGCCACTGTTCCCAACTCACCAGTCGGATGAGCTGTCGGTCCAGCCACCGGAGCACGTCCGGGCCCTCCTCCGACTCCGCTCGGAACACCCCCAGCCGCGCCATCAAGACCGCTGCGGCCTCCTGGTCAAACGCTGCCTCGATGTGCTTGAGCTGACTCTGTGCATCTGCCCAACTGACAGTTCCAGAGTTAGTGCCCCATGTGCGGCCAGGAAAGGCCCGAGCCAGCTCCCCGGTGCAATGCAGACAAAGAGTGACTATGAAGATGTGTGTGTGTGTGTGTGTGTGTGTGTAAATGCACACAAGCATACACATGCGTGCGATGGAATATTACTCAGCCACAAAAAAGAATGAAATTCTGCCATTTACAGCAATATGGAAGGACCTGGAGAGTATTATGTTTAGTGAAGTAAGTCAGATAGAGAAAGACAAGTACAAAACACTCCACATTATCACTTATAAGTGGAATCTAAAAAATGAAACGAATGAATGTAACAAAACAGAAGCAGACTCACAAATACAGAGAACAAATTAGTAGTTACCAGTGGGGAGAGGGAAGGGGGGAGGGGCAGAAGAGGTTAAAAACGACTATGTATAAAATAAGCTACAAGGATACACTGTACACCACAGGGAATACAGCCAGCGTTTTATAATAACATTAAATGGAGTACAACCTATAAAAATTTCAGGGGAGAGGAGAGGGTATAGCTCAGGGGAAGAGTGTGCGCTTAGCACGCTTGAGGTCCTCGGTTCAATCCCCAGTAACTCCATTAAAAAAATAATAATAGTTATAAAATTTTCAAACCACTATGTTATTCACCTAAAACTAATATAATATACTAAATCAACTATACTTCAAAAAAGAAACTTTTCTCAAGATAAAATAGAATGAATGAGGGAGCGGCTTTTATGCACTGACATGGAAGGTGTCCTCGGCACGTGACTGAGAAGAGCTAGGAACATGCTGCTGCGAGCCGCCGTCACGCAGACAGCACACGCACGGTACCCGCGGGCCTGCGAAGTTCAGTGCCACTTCGGTCACAGCACTTTACCTCCGTGGAGAGTGATGGAGACCCATTCTTTACCTAATTAATTTACCTAATTATGTGCTGCTTGAATCTTTTACCTTAGGTGTATTTATGGGTTACTTATTTGATAAACACAATAATGAGAAATAATTTTTAATGAACAAATTCCTATTGAAAGAAGCCTCTTCGAGGCCAGAGTCTACAGGCCTAACTGGACTGGCCAACAATGCCTCTCCCTCCTCCTCCTCCTCTGACCAAATAGCGGGGGCTGGCGAGAGCCACCCAACGCGATTACAAAGATAAACCAGTGGGTCAACAGAAAGGCAGGCAGGGGTGCTCACTTGCGGGCGACAGTGGTGACGCGGATGCGCCTCTGGGTGCTGGAGTGCTGGTAGTGCGTGACGAACTGGACTGCGCCTCGGCCTCCCTG